AATGTATAGTGCATTCACCTCTTATTATTAGTGTTGTTGTTGTGGTAGTTGTTGTTATTATTATTGTCTTTATAATTGTTAGTATTTGTATCATTATTAGTTTAAATAATACAGGCGCAGATCCAAGGGGGGAGAGGGGCGCAATCCCCTTATCATGGGACATTTTTTTTAGCCGAAGCTTTTGAACGAAACAGCTGACTCGACCTTATGGCTTCCGATACGTATATATATGTGATGTATGCGAAGAGCTTTGGCCTCCATTTGTGTGTTCTCCCTTTCAAAAAATCCACGCCTGAGTATTATTCTTGATTATGATAATAATGGTATAATTATATAGTTATTGTTACAATTATGATGATAATGCAAATAAAAATGGTAATCATGATAATCACGATTTAATAGAAATGATAATAATAGCAGTAATAGTAATGCTAATGATAATAATAATAATAATAATAAGGATAACAATAAAATAATACTGATAATGAAATAATAACAATAAAATGATACTGATAATAAAAGTGATAATGATGTGATATGATAATAAGTGATGATAATAATGATGATAATGATGATAATACCAGTGATGATAATAATGATAATGATAATATTGCTTCTATTACTAATACTACGAATGATGATAATAATAATGATTGTCATTATTATCATCTTATTAATTATACTTGTTTAAATGTTTTCGCGTTTTCATATTGTTGTCTACTTTGTGCAATATTTGGGTCTTTTCTGTTCTGTTCCATCTTTTTCTGTTTTACTAGATTTCCTTATCTATTTTTTATATTTTAACTGGATGTCACCGTTATTTGTTCTGCAACTGAGATATTACGACACTTTCCATCGTTATAATTGCTTATATCATGGTTTTGGATTCACTGTTGCCATGTTATTATTATGCTATCATTAAAACTTAATTTAATTATTGTCACGATTTAAAATTAGTATGGATATTTGTTTATTTTTAAGACTTAATTTCTGTTCTCGGTTAGTGTTTTATGTTCACTGCTTCAAATTCTATCGGTATTTTCAGGCGTTTATGAAGGCGATCAAGCAAGCATGTACAGACAGTGGAAATACACATCGCTGTTCGCTTAGTCTTATGTAATAACGTTGGTGTAATAGTGAAATGACAAATAATAGCCTACAATTAACACCCTACGGAGACATAGATCTCTGTTCTTTGTTTTTCCTTAGTTTTCCCTTGATTAATCTCTGTTCTTTGTTCTTCCTTACTTTTCCCTTGATTCATTTGGATAAGTCACACATATTACCTGGCAGTATAAAGAAGAAACAAAACCGAATATTTGATTTTTCTTCAACACATCACAAAAAAGAAAGGAAATTTTCGTAAGGAATACTGTATTTCTTTCCAGGACATGAAGAATGATTCATACTGTAAAAATATGGATGTCTGTAAAAATATGGATGTATTCAATGAATTTCGAAACGGGTAGAAAAAATAGACTTTAGTATGGCCGCACTCGACAAGGTTGCACCATAGAATAATGATTTAATAATATAACGAGAAGGTAGTACTATGGAATAATAGGAACAATACTAATAGCATAATAACAACAGGATACAATTCGTTATGTATGGACCTTGTAATTCGGGCAGGAATTTTGGAAGAGCAGTATTATATTACTAATTTTATTTCTTTGTCTGCATGCGATTTATTGAATTTAGTGATCAGAGAGTAATCAATGCATAATGAGTAGTTTAATTTTTTTTATTTATTCATTTATTTTTATTTATTTATTTTTATTATTATTATTTTTTTATCTGAAGTTTTTTTTTTTTTTTTTTTTTTTTTTTTTTTTGAGAACAAGGTCGATTTGTCTATTCTTAAATTTCATGTTCGTTATGTGTTTTTTTTTTTTTTTTTTTTTTTTAATAGCTCGCTGTAAATGACTTAACTAATATATTTGAGTACCATTTTCCTAAATCACAACTTACGAAATTTGATGTCGATGACCTTATGCTATACAATTTTTGTCAGATTTTACAGAACAAAAGAAAAATAATCCGTTGTTTTTGCTTTGCTTTTTTTTTCCTTTTCATCTCCTAATGTGTTTAAGAAAAATATGAATAAGTGTGAATTATCTACAGTGAAAAATGGGATTAGCGTTTCATTTCATCCTAATTACATATACACTCTACAGTTATTAATTTTACATTCATACCTATTTGAAGCGTCATAATCAGCTCAAGATTTTACTTTCAATTGCAAATGTCATGTGATTTCTTAAATGGTCACTAAATATAAGCACTTGGCAACTCCGAATCCCTGGAAGTATCTCCTATCGTATTAAATTGACGTAATAAATTTTCAAAAGAGATGGGGAAAAATAGTTGAGATAAGAAAAGAGAAAAAATATGACAAAAAAGAAAAAAAATACGGAGAGAAAAAAAGAATGAAACACAGAGAATATAATTTTTTTTACGGGCTTAGGAAAAAGGTTGCCGAATTCATCATTTGGCAGTTTATATTATATTGGCTTAGAGAGAATTTCATCTTTTGTATATACACCATCTTTCAAAGGGTCAGAATACCCACTTACAGGAAAAATATTACATGATAAATACGACATATATTTGTGGTCATTTACAATAATATCTTTTATTCCTGATTATCTCACAATAACCAGAATCCTTATATATTTAATTAAATATTTAATTCACAATACAACAAATAGAATGTGTCAACAGTTCATCCTTATTCGTATTTAGAATCACATTTGCATAATGTCCGGGTACATATTCAGGGCCGGAGTTCTAATAGCTACGAGGTCTGAATTTGTTATTCTATTTTGAAATATATTCGAGTAATATTTTTATTGCAATATGGACTCAGAATCACGTGCGATTATTTGTTTTCATAACTATATGTTTTGGCTGAGAAAGGTATGGCCATTTTTACTTTTTCGTCGTTCTAGGCCTAGTAAATAGCACCATCGAGGGGACTACAGCTGTTCTAGAGCCATATTCTCCATGAACACTTGATGGAGAGCCACATATACATAATCTAATACAGCTTTTTTAACATCTCAGTGCCTCGGTCCGCCTAAATCCCAGCTCTGCACATTTCCCCTGGTGAGTTTCTCGCCTAAATGGGACTCATTGCGGCGAATACGGAAGTGCGAATAACTGAATAATTACGTAATGCAAGATGTGTAATCAGCATTTCCAGATTAGATCCTAATCGCGATGACGCTATTCTGAAGATGTTAATTACACACATACAAAGATATTTCATCCAAAATCCTTCTACAACGGATCATTCCTTTGGCAGTTCCTCATTTCTTTCCCTTCTTCCCCTTCTGCTTCTTGCCTCCGGGCGCCCACTGGTAACCGCGCCAAAAGAGAAGCTCCTGGACGCTGTGACAAATGAAGAGAGCGTTGCGCATCGCCGTTTCTCCGAGAATGTCCACGTGAACGCGACCTGTGGGGAGGGAGAGAGGGATGTGGGTGATGATATGGCGTTTGGAGGCGGGAAGGAAGGAGAGGAAGGAGGAAGGGAGAGAGAGAGAAAGAGGATGGAGGGAGTAATAAGCGATGGAGGAAAGGGAATCAAGGAAGGGAGGGAGGAAAGAAGAAGGGAGAAGAAGTGTTGGAGGAAGAAGGACAGAAGGAGAGCAGATGGAAGGAAGATATAGAGCAGGGGGAAGGAGGAAGATAGAGGGGAGGAAGAGACGAAATGAGAGGTGGGGGTAGGCAGGAATGAGGGAAGGGGCGAGAGAGGGAAAGAGAAGAAAATATATTTTATACACACCATTTCTACAATACATACATACATACACATACATCACACGCACACACACACACACACACACACACACACATATAATATATATATATATATATATAGATATATATATATGAGTATATATAGTAGTAGTAGAATATATATAGGAGAGAGAGAAGGAGAGAGAGAGAAAAAGGGAAGAGAGGAGAGAGAGAGACGAGAGAGAGGAGAAGGAGAGAGAGAGAAGAGAGAAGAGAGGAGAGAGAGAGAGAGATGAGGGAGGAGAGAGGGAGAAGAAGAGGAGAGAGAGAGAGAGAGAGAGAGAAGAGGAAGAGAGAGAGAGAGAGAGAGAGAGAGAGAGAGAGAGAGAGAGAGAAGAAGAGAGAGAGAGAGAGAGAAGAAGAAAGAAGAAAGAGAGAAAAAGACATAGATAGACAAACAGGGATAGAGACAGACAGAGACAGGAAGGAAAGAAAACAAATGCATCTTTACCTCCTCCCGACTCCTTGGAAGACTTCTTCTTGCTCTTGCTCTTCTTCTTATTCCCTTTATCCCCTCCTTTCTTCTCAGGACTCTTTGGTGGCGACGCCTGCGCTTCCCCCGCGGAGCCTTCCCCTCCTCGCCCCCAGCAGGAGGTCCTCCCGCCTGTCCCTGGGGCGCCCCTGGGCTGCTGCGGGTTGGCCGGCATGCTGCTTTGGCCGCGCGAGGAGGTGCGGGGGAAGGAGGAGGGACGGAGGGAGAAGGATCGGAGAGGAGGGGAGGTGGGAGAGAAGAGGGAGGTGAGTGCGGGAGGAGGAGGAGGTGGCGAGGAGTGGAGGCGAGGGAGCGGAGGGAGAGTGCGGGAGGAGGAGGAGGAGGAGGGAGGAGGAGGAGGGAGGAGAGGAGGAGGAGAGGGAGAGGATGAGAGGGGAGGAGGAGGGAAGGAGGAGGAGGAGGTGCGGGAGGAGGAGATGCGAGGGAGGCGAAGGGACGAGGGAGGTGCGGGAGAAGAGGGTAGAGAGGAGAAGGAGTTCCGGTGAGGAGAGCAGGAGAGGAAAGCGAAGGAGGTTGCGGGAGGGAGGGAGGAGGTGCGGGAAGAGGAGGAGGTGCGGGCCGGCGAAGGAGGTCCGGAGGGGAGAGGAGAGAGGAGAGGGAAGGAGGGAGGAGGAAGAGGTGCGGGAGGGAGGATGCGAAGGAGGAGGAGGGAGGCGAGGGAGAGGAAGTGCGGAAGTGGAGAGAGGAGGAGGAGAGAGGAAGGAAG